CACCAGCTGCCTGTGTGGGGACCCACCCCCAGGTGCAGTTATGACCTCGCGCAGGGGGCATGCAGGACAGACCATATCTCCATCTCACGCAGCCGGGGCGACTTGCGTGTGGTCTTATCTTCAGACTCAGAAATTTTCTCACAGCCCTCCTGATGCTGTGGTTTGGGGTTAAGACAGTTATGCAGAGGTGCTGCCTTTCTGCCAGGGAAGGCATCACAAAACCTTGAAAATAACCAGCAAGAGGGTCCAAGGCCTCTAATGCCTGGAGCAGGCTCCCTTCATTCCCCGCCACCCCCCCGCCCCGTCCACCCACCCCCCTCGACCCTCAGGCACAACAAGAAATGGCCCCCAGCCCCCGAGCCTCCGACTGTGGAAATGACTAAGTCCTGCCAATGCAGCCTAGGAGATTGGGTCAAACGTCCCCACGGACCCCACTGCTGAAGGAATTCTCGGAATGTCTTCCATCAAGCGCTGCCAGAGGATGCTGCGTGTTTGTCTTCCCAGGTCGCCCATCACAGCCCCGCTGGGGCCCAGGCTCCGGTCCACTGGGGCAATGCGGGCACAAGGTGACAGTTCAGGCAATCATCTTCCTCACAATCATGCAGATGGCTGCAGCGTGAGGCAAAAGCATCCCCACCAAGTCAGAGACAAACTAGATCTGCCCTTTTCCTCTTCTAGAAATGTAAGATTGGAACTGGAAACTCAATGACACTGTTGGTAAGTGTTTAAGTATCTATCCCAATTTTTTGTTAAGTATTTTTAAAAGCCCATAAGGATATCTGGTTCAATGATAATGGATATTTTCTAGTATTGACAAGTATAACTTTGTTTGTAGTTATGAAACATATATGACACTAGACATATTTATTAATTTTAAAAAATGTAACATCATCATAGAACCTCCTGGGCTTGGTAGAGGGAAACATTAAAATACTTGCACAGAATATTACTCAGCCATAAAAAGGAAAGAAATTGTGCCATTGGCAGAGACGTAGATAGACCTAGAGACTGTCATACAGAGTGAAGTCAGAAAAAGCAAAACAAATATCGTATTAAATGCCTATATATGGAATCTAGAAAAATGGTACAGATGAGCCTGTTTGCAAAGCAGAAATAGAGACACAGATGTAGAGAACAAACGTATGGATACCAAGGGGGAAGGGGGTGGGTGGGAGGAATTGGGAGATGGGGATTGATACTATGTATAAAACAGATAACTAATGAGAACCTACTGTATAGCACAGGGAACTCTACTCAGTGCTTTGAGGTGACCTAAATGGGAAGGAAATCCAAAAAAGAGGGGATGTATGTATACGTATAGATGATTCACTTTGCTGTACAGCAGAAACTAACACAACATTGTAAATCAACTGTACTCCAATTAAAAAAAAAATAATGATGATAAAAAAGAAGGTTAAAAAAAAAAACTTCCACGGAAGACGTAGAGATGAGCCACCAAAGGGAACAAGGAGCCTTTACTCCTGTTTCCTGTGTGCAGGCTCACAACCAGTTACTGCGGAAAATTCCAAAGAGGAATTTGGAAACATAGTTTCTGCTGTCTCCTCATGCAGTAATGGGACCCACCTGGTCCCGGGTTCAGAGTCATGCCTTCCAGAGAATTCCAGGCAGGTGGCTGCCTCTGGGGGATCCAGTAGGTTGATGTGAAGACCGTTTCCCTTGGGCCACAGTATGAGTGACTGTCTTGGGAACAATGGCCAGCACCCGTGGGCCCCTCTCCTGCACCCAGACCCCTAGACCCCAGCCCCACCTGCTCACAGAAGCTCAGTGCGAGTGCTTGGAGGATTCAAAGTATGGTAGTTTCCTTTGAGGAGTGGTTAAAAGCAGCAAACCGCTGGTGTAGAGTGTGATGGACCCCAATCCATTGGAGGGTCTGGTGGGTGACAACGAGTGTCCTTCCTGGGCAGCTGCAGTCTGGCTCCTTGGGTTGAAGGGACACGGGGTGGAGAAGAGGGCAACATACTAGGAGCAGGGACTGTCACCATGTGTGACAGTGGTGAAATGCTACTCTTCCTGGAGACTGAGCTGTCCACTATCCACTCCAGGCAGTGGATGAATGGGATTGGGCACCAGAGCAGAAGTAAAGAGAGTCTGTTTTCTTCCGTAGGTTTACAAGGTGTTTTAGTTCCTTCCTATTGCACGTTTTGGCCAACTGCATTTTCCTGTAAGCCCGTGACGTTCCTCATTTCCCCTCACTTGGCTTCTACACATAAGCAGTTCAATATTTACATGCTGGGCTTCCCTCGTGGCGCAGCGGTTGAGAGTCCGCCTGCCGATGCAGGGGACACGGGTTCGTACCCCGGTCCGGGAAGATCCCACATGCCGCGGAGCGGCTGGACCCGTGAGCCATGACCGCTGAGCCTGCGCGTCCGGAGCCTGTGCTCCGCAACGGGAGAGGCCACAAGAGTGAGAGGCCCGCATACCGAAAAAAAAAAAAAAAATTTACATGTTTACCTTCCCTTTGGAAAAACTTACAGCAGTGTGACAAATTCTCAACCCTGGGTGGTTGTTAGTTTACAGTGTGTGACAAAGCCCCTAAATGTGCCAGTGTGGTGAGTGTGCGTCGGAGACACTGCCGCAGAGGAATGAAACTGGTTCCGCCAGTCACACGGGATGGGGACGGCTGTCTCCTACCTGCCACACAGCCAGGGCACATGCGCACACCTGAACTCACCGTCGAACAGGGAGACGAGGAGCCCCGGGTATCCAGTTACCCAGGTTATTCTGGCAACAGGGCCAGCATGACTTGGATTATTCAACTGCATAGATCTGGCTACAGGTCAGAAAATAATAAGATGTTTCTTCCAAATACGAAGAGATTTCTGAGAAAAGCAGAGCAACTCCTCCCAAATCCTTTACAGCCTGGGGGCTGAAGGGCTACTTACAGTTTAAAGGAGAGATAACTGCAGGAAGTTGATAGGATCATTCTCTTTCCACTTTCTAATATCAGACCTGCCTAGTTAGGGCTGGTTCTCCCCGGCCCCAGCTCACCTGGGCAACCTGATGAATTCCCCTCCCTGCCAGCCCTGGTCCTGTTCCCCACTAGGGACCTCAGTCCACCTACCTCCCAATTCCTTCCTCCTTCTCAAAGAAAATCGGGCCCTTGGGTGTAAACTCCTTCACGCTCCCACTGCTGTAGACTCACCCACCCAATAAACAACACGGTCCTGCTGTAGCGCACAGGGAACTATATTCAATCTCCTGGGATAAACCGTAATGGGGAAGAATGTGAAAAAGAATGTATATATGTATAACAGAATCACCCTGCTGTGCAGCAGAAATTAACACAACATTGTAAATCAACTATGCTTCAATAAAATAAATTAAAAAAAAAAAAACCCTCACTCACCTTCATCTCCTGGCCTCCAGTCTCTAAGCCAGAAATACCCTCTCCTGTGAGGGCCCACACTCTAGGGCTTAGGGTACTGAGCTACATGCAGGCCTCAGGGACTTTGCACACACACACTTCTTCAAATGCCATTACATCCAACCTTCCCCTTTCCAGCCTGGCCCCTCACCCTCCTCTTCAATACTTGGTATCCAGGGCAGATTCGTCACAGCATCTGTGGTTCTCTTTGTTCTCCTGCTCCCAGGGTTTTCGCAAAATAGGTGTCAATAAATGCCATTAGCCTCTGAACCAGATCCAGACCCTAACCTCCACTGGCCCAACTAGTCCGTCTTCTTAGCAGTCTCCCCTCTGAGCCAGGTTGGAAGGCTTCTCTTTACCCAGTGCCGTGGCAGAGGGAGGGGCTGGGGAGGAGCCAGTGAGGACCCTCTGCTGCAGTGTCGGGGCCAGAATCCTCACTGATGTTACCAACCAGACAGGCAGACCCTGGCTAGGTAAGAGAAGGCTAAGTGCTCAGGTCTAACCAACCCAATTCAAGGTCAAATCCCCTTCATACAGCCGCAGAACTCAAGCAAATCACTATTTTATGATTCAGGCTTTGCATTAGGCCTTGGAGAATCTCAGGCTAGTGTTCTGAGGCGTTGCCTAATGACGGGGGCTGACTGCAAGGTGAGGGGCGCAGGGAGCACGCCACACACATGCGCACACACAAACTTCTTAATGGGCATTTTCCTGAGACCCTCCCAGAAGTGATCACGGCAGATCTTAAAGCGAGGTTCCAGACTTTAGGGTGCGAGTGGTGGATTTCTAGGGGCTTTCCAAGTATGTTAAAACCGGACAACTGTCTTTTGCTGGTGGGCAGATGGCGATCCTAGAAATCACCCTTTCCCACGCACAGGCGCGCGCACACACATGCACGCACACGCGTGCACACACGCGCACACATGCTCACGGAAGCCCCGCCAGCCCGCCCCACTGTAGCCCTGGGGTTGGGCTGACTAATTGGAAAGTCCCGCGCTTTCGCGTCTCCACGCAGGAGACAGGTCCGCGCAGGAGGATGCAGCGCCGGGCGCACACGCGGCCACCGCGCAGCCACGGTCAGGGCGAAGGCGCCGGAGGGGGCTGGCGGCGCGCGCACACGGCCGGCGGGGGCCGAGGCCGCAGCGGGGGCGGGGTCGGCAGGGAAGCTGGGCGCAGGGCCTTCCAAGGGGCGGGCGGGGCGGGCCGCGGGGAGCGGGGAGCGGCGAGCGGCGGGCGATGACC